GCCCGATGCGCAGTGAGCGCCCAGCGCCCCCGGGGCCTCCGCCAAGTGGATCAGTGCGTGTGGATCACCCCACCCCTCACGACGCTGCGGGGGAAGCGGATGCTGTGGCCGCAGATGGTGCACAAGGAGGAAACTGGGCCCAGAGAGGGCGGGAGACTGGCCTGAAGCCACACAGCTTGACGGGGAGACAGTCAGGAAGCCTTACGCGGAGGGCAGGCTGGGCCTCGCAGGGGCTGGGGTCCGGTGAGGCCATGAGGCGCATCCCACGATGGCCTTCGTGCTCCATCACGAGACGGACGCCGGCGTCGCCAAGGCTCGCTCCCCGCCTTCCTTTCCTGGCTCGCGTTGTTGGTGTGACTCGCTGTGGGCTTTTAGAGTCACTGTTTAAGGCGGAACAGTCTTAGATTTACAGGGAAAGTTCCCAGACAGTGGCGCCCACCTCCCGCCCAGTGTCCGCTGTCACTCCCCGCTGACGCTCCCACGATGCAATGTTACCACGGACGCGTCAGGACTGACCCATCACGGTCACTGGACTCCACGCTCTGTTCCCGTCCCCCCAGGTCCCCCCATCTCTCCTCGGCTCCGGGCCCAGGCTACCCCTGGCCGTGACGGTCTCCCGAGGGCCTGGCCGTCCGTGACCTTGAGGAAGGCCGAGGCGTTGCGGAATCTGTGACGTTTTCTCACGACCAGACTGGGGTTGGGTTTCCCGGGGGAAGAGCACGCAGGGACCCGCCACTCCCATGGCCTTACAGAGTGGCCTCTGACCTCACACCCAGAGTGGCCTCTGACCTCGGGACGGACCGAAACAGGACAAAACCACCTCCAGGCGGGGCCTGAAGCAACGCTGCGCCCCTTGTTTGCCAGGAGAACGAGAAAGCAGAGGTTCCGCTGCGGACTGAGGCCCCCGGGCTGGGAATGAAACAGCCCTCTCTCTAGAGTCAGCATCGCGTGTCATGTTCTCTGCACCAACAGCGCTGCCTTCCTCCTACAGATGTCGGGGTCCCCCTCCCCATCTCATGGCCACCCCCTGCCTTTGTCCACGGCGAGGGCCTCGTGCCGCCCAGACCCGATGGCAACGCCTCTTTCGCCCCTTCTCTGCCCCGGGGCCTTTGCACCTGCTGGTCTGTTCCAGGTCCTCCCAGCGGCTGCCTTCTCCCCTCAGGCCTCCTTGGCAGCCCGCTCCGCCCTCAGCACCGTCACGTCCGGGCAGCGCCTGTCCCGGGCCCAGGTGTCTTATTCCCACTCCCCTGGTCGCTGTCCCCGGGGGCTGTGCCTGGTCAGGGGTGACAGGGGACCCTGACACGTGGGGATGAGCAGGCCGCCAGCTGCATGAAATGACTCAAGGGCAGGGACAAAACCATGGTTCCCTCCCGGGCGAGTTCACCTGCTCTGGGCTCCAGGTTCAAGGCAGCTGGGCGCTGGCTCGATGGCCACTCAGAGGCACAGCTC